CAGGAGGGCTTCCTCCCAGAAGCCGTTGAAAACAACTTGAAGGTTGTCATACGCCTCTGTTAGAGATTACATTAAAATCCCCGAAATACTTTCCCCAGGAAAGTTTCAGGAGGGCTTCCTCCTAAAATCCCCTTACAACCTTTCTTCAGGAAGGCTTTTTGCGAAAAAGGTCTTTGGAGGATTCCACCTCAACCCGTCCAGAAACCTTCCTGCGTAAGACTACAGGAAGGTATCCTCGGAAAAAACCTGTTGCAAAACCTTTTTTCCCAGAAGCGTCGTTGGCAGGTGTTTGGAAGATTCATTCGAAAACCTTCCTACACAATCTTCTGCAAGAAGGTGTCAAAGCATCTCTTCGTACAAACCGTTCGAACATATCACCCATGAAAACCATTGAAACTGTTTGAGAAGTTCTATCAAACCTGTTATATACACATACATCTATACGTATATACAACCTCCAGTAGGTTTCAGAGGGGGTCCGTTGTTTTTCTTCTTTTTCGATCAAAACAACTAATAATTAAAATTTCTTTTTTTATATCAAAAAATCTAAAACTAATTCCTACAACTTTCCGTTGAAAAAAAAGGTGTTTGAAATGTTTTGGGGGTCCTCTTTACAACAACCATCCTCAGGAATGTTTCTGGAATGTCCACAAAAACCTGGCTACAATTTCCTCAGGAAGGGTTATCTGGAACTTCCCACCGCCCTCCTAATCAAAAGAGCTTCCTCACAAGAACCTTCCGACAACGTTATTCCAGAAGGTTTTTGGCAGGTTGTGGCAGGGTTCCTCCTGGAATCGTGCAAAAAACTTCCTGGGGAAGGAACCTTCCGCAGGAAGGTCCTCGTGAGATGTTTAGAGAATTCCTCGTAAAACAGTCCTGAAGCCTTCCTCCAGAAGGTTTCAGGAGGGCTTCCTTTTAACAACCTTCAAGCGACCTTCCTCACTCAGGAAAATTGTTGGAAACGTTGTTGGAACATTAATTAAACCAACCGAAACCTTCTTCAGGACGGTTCCAGGAGGGCCTCCTCGAAACCATCCTCCGGAAAGTTTCACGAGAGGTTCGTTTTCGAAAAACCTCCTCCGATTTTCGGAACACGGTTTCGGAGAGGTTTTTGACGGATTTGTTCAAGAACCCTCCTCGAACCTTCCTCTGGTCGGTTTCACGAGGGTTTTTCCATAACTACTCCGACTGTACGACCCCACGCGACAATATGTTTAACTTGCCCCTTGGTTTGCTGCTCGTCGCCTTGGCCGAAGCCCTCCCCCGCCCTCTGTTGCGCCTCCTCATCATCATATTCGCCCTTCCGTATCCTCCTCCTTTTTCGTCCTCCCCCTCCACCTCATCCTCCTCATCCCCCACCTTTTCCCCCACCTCCTCCTCCCTATTTTCCTTTTCGTCCTTTGCTCCCTCCTCCTCCTCCTCCTCCTCCTCCTCCTCCTCCTCCTCCTCCTCCTCCTCCTCCTCTTCCTCGCCATCCTCCCCACTGTCCCGCCTGTTCTCCCCATCCGACTCCCCTGCCTCTTGGCCGGGGCAAATCGATTCCCTCGCCGCCGTCGCCATCGCGGCCGGCATGGGCGCGTTCCCTGACAGCTGGATCGCGAAGCCGCCGCGGCGGCCCCGCGGGCGAGGCCGTCGGGGCAATCACGCGAGCCGCTGGGGCGCGGGGGGGCACCCGCCGGGACAACCCCGCAGGTCTCGAGCTGGACGCGGCTGCGCTCAGGCGGGGGGTAGCGCGAAGACCAGCTTTGCCGCGAGCTGCTCCGCCTCTGCCTTGGACATCGCCGTTTTCTTGTCGAACACCTCGAACGCCTTCCGCAGAGGCGGCGTTGGCCCACGCTCCAGGAACTCCCGCGTGGGCGGCCGCATGATCAGCGTGCGCCGCACGCGCGTGGCGCGCGAGAACATGACGTAAAGGTGCAACCACCACTTCTCGTCCGACATCCCCGCGAGGCCAGCGCCCTCATCCCTGGCTCAGTCGACGGCGGCGCCCTCGCGCAGCATCTGGCCCTGCGACAGCGTGGAGGTCAGGTAGGGCGCGCGCGTCAGGGTGAACCCCGAGCGGCGCGTGACGTGCGCCCCCAAACTCTGCCAGGTGAGCTCCTGCTCGCTGGGCTTGAACATGAGCAAGCTCCTCGCCCGCGCCTCGGCCTCGCCGTCGTCGTCAGCGCCTTCGGCGCCCTGTAGCACCAGCTCGGCGACCTCCTTGTAGATCGGGGACTCTTTGAAGCCGCGAACCTGCATCCAATTTCCCTGCGGCAGGTACCGGGGGCGAAAAAGGTGGCCCGGCGCGCAATCCTCGCAGCCCCGCTCGTCGTGACGGGGAACCTCGGAGTGCGCGATCGTGGCCCGTTGCTCCTGCGCGAGCCACAACTTCTTGTTCAGCTCCTCCTTCACGGCCGCGAACCGGAACTCCATGCCGACGTGTACCGGTAAAAGGTACGACCCCGTGGATGTCCACCGTCGCGCACATGCTCGGGACGTTCAGCAGGCACCGGCCCGCGTCTGGATCGCCTTGAATCGCGCCGCACTCGTCTACGGTCAAATCGCCGCAGATAGAATGCACATGGGAACTTTAATGTGCACTCTATTCGGGGGTCGTACACAGCGCAGTCAAACAATGGGTGCACGCTATACGCGGTTTCGCCGCGTTTAGCGCGCACGTCCAACGTGAGAGACAAGCACGTTTAGCGTGCACGTCGGATGCCTGTAAAAAATCACCTCCTCCTCCTCCTTTTGCTCCTCCTCCTTTTTCCGCCTCATCTTCGTTCTCCTCCTCCGCCATCCTCCTCCCCCCCTCCCCCCTCTTCTTCCTCATCCTCCTCCTCCTCCTCCTCCTCCTCCTCCTCCCCCCCTCCGCCGTGTCCTCCCCCTCCTCCTCCTCCCTCCTCCTCCTTTCCCTCCTCATCCTCCTCACCATTCGAAAAGTAATCGTATGGCTTGCAGCACGACGGTCCGTTTAGCGCGCCGCACATCGCCAACGTAACAACGTTGAGCGTACAGGTCCGCTTTGAAACATGGACAACGTATAGCGTGCAAGCACGGCTTGATAGTTTTCCAAAATGGATTTGACCAGGAGGGTCGCGCACGGTAGTCGAATAATTGCATGTCCCCCAAGGGGGGTCGTGCACGGTAAACGTGGCGATTCGACCGTACGGCCTGCAAGGAAACGAAGGGCACTCCGAGACGCCGCGCGTCGCGACGAGCGCGTGTGTTGATCCACCTCGCCAGCGTCTCCCAGTAGACGCTCATGCCGTAGCCGAGCCGACAATACCCGTGCTCATGCCGACGGTCCAGGACGTCGTGGCTGTCCGAGGCCAACAACGTTCTCCCAGGCGGACCAGACTCACAGACGAGGCTCCCGCTTGTAATTCTTCACGTTCACGAATGAGGACCCCCAAAAATGACGATTGATGAAGATCGTCGGAAAACCCGCTCGGATTACCACCATGAAATGCTGGCCCCATAGGGAAGGTGCTCCCGCCTGATACGTCCTCACATTTCACTCACATACGAAGCTCCGGCTCGAGACTTCCTCCATGTTCAGGCATGCGGACACTAAACAAACACGACCGTTACCAGTTTTCGGATGACCCGCTCAGATTGCCAACGTGAAGCGCGGGCCCCATAGGGAAGGGTCGCCTGCCTGAGACTTTCTCAAAATTCCCTTACATACGCGGATCCCGCTTGAGGCTTCCTCCATGTTCAGGCCAGAGGGGGAGCCCCAGCTGATGAGGATGATTATGATGATGTTGATGATGATGATGATGATGAGTGGTGAGTGATGGTGATGATGATGGTGGTGATGATGATGGTGAAGATCTCGGTGTGGTTGCGAGTGGATGAGGACTGGCGAGCGAATGGGTGTGTGACTGAGGGAGTGATGATGATGATGGTGTGATGATGACCGTGATGGTGACGACGATGATGATGATGGTGCTGATGGCGATGGCGAGGTGTGAGTCAGTGAGTTAGTGAGTGAATGGGTGAATGATTGATGTGGGTGGAGAGGAGGCGTGTGACAAGACTGCGCGGAGTGTCCAGAAAAAACAAGAACCCCTCTTTAGGATGTGGGGAAAAGCCTTCCTAAAACCTTCCTCTGGAAACAAATGTTTGGAAGGTGTTTGAAGGATTCCTCCTAGAACAATACAAAACCCTGCCTCAGGAAGGTTTCGAGAGGGCTTCCTTCCAAGAAGCTCCCAGCACCCGTCCTCAGGAAGGTTTCAGGAGGGTTTCCTCCTAAAAACCTTCCTGCAACATTCCTCATGAAGGTTTTCGGAAGGTTTTACGAAGGTTTCTTCCTAAAAACCAACCCTCCTCAGGGGAGCGTTCAGGCGAAGTTGGTCGAACTGCCGCTAAGGACATGCCTCAGGCTGGAAAGGCTGGGCGGCCCGAAACCCCAAGGCCATCGTGCGGCGATGAAGGAATGCCGACGCGAAAACAGCGGGGCCTGCTTGGCCGCGGCGGGCCCGGGCCACGACCGAAGGCTCCCCGACCTGGACCGAAGGGAACAGGCCCGAGAACGGCAGGCCCCTCTGGAGCCCAGCGCGGCCCCTGCTTCCACGTCTTCACTGCACCTCCCCGTGACCGGGCAGCAAGAACTGGACCTCAGGACCGGGCCCGAGGAAGCGGAGCCCCTCCTGATCCCGGCGCATCAACAAAAACTTGTGGGGCTCCGCGCGGATTTCCCGGATCCGCGCTGGGTCCCCCCTCCCTGGCGCGCGGAGCGCGCCAGGGGCGCCGCCAGAGGCGCCGCCATGGGGGCCCAGGCGCAGATCCAAGAAACCCGCGCGGAGCGCGCAAAGTTTATGTTTATGGCGTTTTTTTGTTTGTTTTTCTCCTGCGAGCTTCTCACCTCGTCACGGCACCTCCCCGTGACTGAGAGCCGCGTGAGGCTCACAGGACGGGCCAGCGCGGCCCGCGCGCGGCGCCGCGTTGCGGCGCGGCGGCCCTCGCTCGGCACGTGCACCGCTCGGCGCGGGCACCGCCGAGCCCGCGCAGGCTCACGCGCCGCGCAGCGCCGCGCGCCGGGTCTGCAGCAGAGAGTAGTCGGCGCCGCTGAGCACCGCCTCCGCCTTGCCCAGGCTCTCGATCTCCTCGGTGCGCGCCTGCCTGCGCACGTCGTAGTAGGTCGTGAGCCAGTCGCACTCCGCGTGAAGGTTCGCGATGACCTGCTTCGTCTCCATGAGCTCGATGGAGAGGCCTTTCTTGTTGTCAGTCTCCGCCTGGAGCGACTCCTCGCCCTTCGCCTTCGCCGCGGCCTTGTCGGTCACCGCCTTGGTGTCCGCCGCGCGCTTGGCCCCCGCGTCGCTCATCAGCGTCTCGTAGTCGGCCTGCGCGTCCTTCTCGGAGACCTCGGCCTCGGACATCTCCTTGTCGAGCTCTCCCACCAGCATGTCGATCATGCTGACAACGCCGCCCGTCTGCTGCCCCTTGTTCACGTAGGCCCCGAAGGTCTCCGGAGGTGGCGGCGGGGCCGCGTCACCTCCGCCCCGCCTGTGAGCAGACACCTGCACGAGCTGGGGGGCCGTCTGCGCGAGCGCCTCGGGCTTGTAGAGCTTGGGGTTGCACGCGGGCCCCCGCGCTGCCGCGGGCGACGTGGCGTGCGAGGTGCTTTGCAGTGCTCTGCCCCGGCCCACCACTTGCCATCGCTCGGGCGCCCATTTCCCGTGCATTCTTCAGTGGCGTGCATCTTCTTTTGCATTGGGGGAAAAGAGGATGAGGCAGGAGGAAAGGGAGAAGCCAGGAGGGGGTTAGGAGGAGGGAGCAGGAGGAGATCCGCAGCCGAGCTGAAAGTATCATCATGCGGGGTCCTACCATTGGAATAATGCTTGCAAGATGGTTCATGATGCCCCTCGATGGTCCTCGCCGAGGAAAACATGCACACGCCCGAGCGATGCCAAGACCCTCCCAGCAAGAGGGACGCCAGGCCCGCCCAAGATGCCACGAGTGAGCAGGCGCCCACACGACCAGTGGGCACCAACGAGCACGCTGTCAGTCCTGCTCCCTTCGCCCCTCCTGCTCCCTCGGCCTCTCTCTGTCTCTCTCCCTCTCCCTCTTCCTGCTTCGCCCCTCCTCCCAAGCTGCCAGAGCGTACGATGATGGGACCGACCGGCGGGCTCCCCCAACACACGCGAGAAGTCGATGGGCTCTGCCGTGGGAGGCCGAGCAGGCGCCGATCGGAGGAGCGCCTCCGGATCCACCGCCGCCCACCCGCCCCGCTTCGCCGCGCACCGCACCGCACCGCGGAGCTCCGCCGTGGCTCCCGCCGCCGCGGGGTGGACGGAAGCACGGCTGGCCTGCCACAGGCCCTCGAGGCTGCTTCGCGGCTGCCCCCCCCCTCGAGGGACATCGAAGCAGGCACGTCGCGTCCGAAATCTGGGCGCGGCCCTTCCCCTCGCCCCATCCCGTTCGGCCTTCTCCCCTTTCTGCTCAAGCCTCCTTCTCCTCCACAATTACTCAATATGAATACTACGGCAGGTTCGTGTCGTGCCGACCCCAGCGTTGGTTTTTGACACCGCAGGGATCGTTCAACCTTGAACGATCGGCCGCTGCCGCAACGTCCGATCGTTCAACATCGATCGATTCTGGGTCGCAGGCGGCGTTCAACCTTGAACACCCGCGCTGGGGTCGCCGCTGGTCGACACGACGCAAACCTACCGTACTCTCCCTCTTCCCCTGATGACGGTTTGAAAGTGCTCGACCCCCCCCCGCGTACTGGTTTTTACACACAGGTTTCCCCGGAGTTGGGTTTTCGCCTGCATTTGTTCCAAAATGCTGCTCTCGCTGAGGCGCCGGCCTCATTCTCGGGCCCCGCTCGTTCCGAATCGTGCTCCCGCTGCAGCGCTGGCCTCATTTCCGTGCTTCCGCTCGTTCCGAATCGTGCTCCCGCTGCAGCGCTGGCCTCATTTCCGCGCTTCCGCTCGTTTCGACTCGTGCTCCCGCTGCAGCGCTGGCGTCATTTCCCGTGCCATGCCACGGCATGCAATGCAATGCTAGGTTGATACTACGCTTTGCGGTGCTCTTCTACGCCATGCCATGCCGTGCTCTACAATGCATCGCGTACCCTTTCGGGATCATTGCCCTGCTCGACATCCGACTGTGCGAGTAGAGAGGGGATCTGCGCCATGGTAAGGGATGGGAGGGAGGGGTAGGATGTCAGATATGACGCGAGCGCACCTAGCTTGTCCTCCTCCCCCCTCCTCCTCCTCCTCCTCCTCCTCCTCCTCCTCAACCTCCTCCTCCCTCCTCCTCCTCTCCTCCTCCTCCTCCTCCTCCTCCTCCTCCCTCTCCCTCCTCCTCCTTCTCCTCCTCCCCCTCGTCCGCCTCCTCCTCGTCCGCCTCCCTCCTCCTCCTCCTCCAGCTCCTCCTCCTCCTCCTCCTCCTCCTCCTCCTCCTCCGCCTCCCCTCCTCCTCCTCCTCCTCCTCCTCCTCCTCCTCCTCCTCCTCCTCCTCCTCCTCCTCCTCCTCCCGCCGCCCTCCCGTCCGTCCACCCAACCCCCATCCCCTACCTTTCCGTCTTCCGTTCGGTCTGCGTCCCCCTCTCCGCATCCTGCCCTTCTCGCCTTCGCTGCTACGATGGGCAGGCGCATGCTACACCACCATACGTTGCTGGCGCCATGCTGCAGAACGTCCTGCACGACTGACACAGACACGAAGCCAGTTCTGTGTGCCGCGCTGCTGGCACAACATGCTACGCTGCTTCACTGTTCCACCTCCTCCTCCTCCTCCTCTTCCTCCTCCTCCGTGCCCTCTCTCAAACTCCTGCGATTTCGACATCCCAGTGGCTGGCGGAATGGCGGGAGATCATGTGGTCCGCCCGTCCACCATGCCGAGAGGCGTGTGATACGTACTTCGACAGCTTCTTTGACAGCTTTGGCCACATCTGTTCCCCCCCACAGGCTCCACGCATTCCATCGCTAGCTGTGCCGATGGACCTCTTTGCGGGGCTCATAACGGCCCCACGGCGTCCACAAAGGGGACGGATTTCCGATCGTTCCCAGCACTCTTGCGGATCTGATGTTCTCTCTGCGTTGGCGCATCTTGAGCGTTCTGGACCCCACGACCGGCTGTCATTTGGCCGCCAACGTCCGTCGTCAACGCTCAACCGGGAATTCAAGCAACTGCATAGCAACAACTTGGTGATGTCAGCCTTGCTCGGGGTTGCCCAGGAGCTTCCCAACATCTCTTCAGACTCATCTGTGGCCCCTCTCTGTGTGTAAAACACTCTGTGTCTGGACAAATCTGCTGTCCAACGTGGGCCCGACCAAATTGTCGGTTTCCCGCGCAATCGCAACAAACACTTCACGATTGGCACCGTGACGTGAGACGGAGCACCTCTGGATAAGCCGGGAAGGCCACACGCGACGCCATGAACAATGAAGCGCCAATGGAGGGGGAGAGATGTCGGGGGCGGCCAAGAGGGGGGCGTCCAAGAGGGGGGGTTGCAAATCATGGCCGGCGGCATGTGCGCGGCCCTGCGGGGGGCCAGGGACGTAATGAAATAAGAAGAGGCGCCATGAAATCTGGGGAAATATCATGGCCCTCGCCATGACATCCACCCCCCACCTAGTCCTCACCCCCCTCTTGGCTTCTGCTGCCATTCTGCAGCTGCTACTCTGCATGCCCTGCTGCTGCTCTACCGTCGCTCGTAAACTGGTGCATGCCAGCTTGACGCCAGCAGCGCGCACAAGCTCACCGCACAAGAGCGCACAAGGCCCCCCACACAAGGCCCCGCACAAGACTCCGAAGGGAACTCTTTCTATCAAAAATAATAAGCAGTCCTCACCCCCCTCTTGTCAGGGGGGCGTAAGACCCAGGTACAGGGGACTCGGAAATCCCCGACGAGGTCGTCAAAAAAATGACGAGGCCGAGCCTGCATTTTGGCGAGGCCTCCCGCTGCAGACATCCCTCGAAACTCCTCCTCGTCAAAATCCGAGGCGCGGTCGTCGAAAAACGATGGCGAACCCGAGTCCTGGCAAACCCGGGTCTTACGCTCCCCCGATCTTGGCCGCCCCCGAAGCAGGAGAGACGGCGAGTCGACGCCAGAGGGTGACACGCAGGCGCCCCGGCACGAGGCCCACGACCGGCCCCACCACGGCCGCCCCTCCCGCGGAGCAGTGGGCCCGGCAGGGGGCCTCCTCCGGCCCACTCCGGATTCCGCCACCCTCCGGGGGGGGGGCCCCTCTCGGGCTGCCTTCCCAGACTGCAGGGGGCCCTGGGGCACACAAGTAATCTTATGTGCACAAGCAACAGGACTCCCCACATGTCCCCACCTGTTCGGGGTTCTTGTCTTCCCCCTCCACTTCCCATGTTCTCCCGTTGTCTCTGGGGAATCGACGACGAATTGTGTCTGTGTGCGTTTTGTCCCTCCTGGCAGCCCTCCGAACGATTGTCTTTCCATGTGGCTTGACTTCAACGGGCTGTGTTGTGCCGGCCTCTGGGGGCCGCCGTCGGGCCCGGTGGCAGTGAGAATCTCGCGGTGGGCGAGATCTGTCCCCGGTGCACAGGTCAAGCCGGATGGCAAGGATGCGCGATGAGGGTGCAAAAGGGGCCCTGGCCGCCCACTTCGAAGCGGTTCGAGCGGGGCGCGGCCCACGAAAGTGTGCAGGGACGGACCCAGGAGGCGAGGATGCAAGGGGTACCCTTGGGAGGGATGCCTATCCTTACGGTGCGGGTCGACTGTGTGTGTCGGGAGCTCCAGGCGGCAGCTGGCACAAAACGCGGCGGCGCATGCCTGGGGTGCGGGCCTCGCCGGAGGAAGCTCCGAGCAGTCGTGGAGCGGTGCTAGGCCACCCGCGAGGCCGCCCTGCCCGTCGCTGGGGCCGTCCTGGGCTCCTCTGGCGAAGGCCAGGTAGTTACCAGCCTAGAGCATATCCCTATCCCTATGCTGGGCACCTCCTCATCACGATGCCAATCTCAGAGATTCCCTTATCTTTTGAGGGCGAATCCCTAAGATTGTCATCGCCTTTTGGCGTGTCAATCTTAGGGATAGGGATACGTTCGAGGCTGGTAAGGTAGGGGCAGCGAGCGCGAAGCGTACTGAATAAAACTTGTTCAGGCGGTTCTTGGCCCACAGGAGCACCTCCTTCGCCGCCTTGTTGTTGGTCATCAGGTCCTTAAACTCTGAGTTCTCCTCCTTGCGAAGCTTCGTCGCCTCGGCGACGCTGGAGTCCAAGTCCCTGATGCTGGCCTGGAGGTCGCCGATCTCCGTTGTCCAAGTGGCGATGGCGCCTTTCAATTCCTCAATGGCCGTTCCGGACACCTCGATGGAGCGCTCCAGCTGCTTGCCCGTGTCCTCTGACTTGTCGAGTTCGCTCTCGCAATATGTCTTCTTGCTGTCATCGTCGGCCTAGGTGGAAGAAGAAAAACTGCGTATTTGAGCATGGACCGCTTGTTTACAATCGGCCTTGGGCCGTGTTTGGCGGTCTTCGGCTGTCGTCTGACGGTCTTCGGCGGTCTTCGGTGGTCTTCGGCTGTGTCTGGCGGTCTTTGGCGGTTTGCGGCGGTCTTCGACGCGAAAGCTGGAGATCCGCGTTCAACAAGGATGTCCATGATCGAACACCTAGGAGAAGGACGAGGAGGAGGAGGAGGCAGAGGAAAGGAGGAAAAGCCTGCTCCTTCTTCAGATTGGCGACCATGTCTTGGATCAACTTGATGACTTTTTCGAAGCCGGCAGTCTTTCCCTGCAACGCCATCAGCACCAAGTCGATCTCCGTTCCCCGGCGCGGAGCGTTTCGCAAGACCGCCACGACACGTGCGCGCGTGATTGCGAGGCCCTCCTGCATCTGTACCAAGGAGGCGGAGGAGCCCGGAAGAGTCTTTACGCCATGCCCCCTCTTGGGGCGAGCAGGCTGCGAACGGCAGCGGCGTGTTGTGCAACATGGTATTCTCATCAGTTGCGCGATGCTGTAAAGACCTAAATGAAATACGCTGCCATGATCGTAGGCGGCTAGGCTCCCAATTCCCTGTTCCAGGGTGCCCATCTGCCTGCTCCGTGCTTCCAATCCCCGAGTCTGGGGATTCCCTTTTGTCGTGGCACATGTGTTCCTGAATCACGCATGCCTGTCTTACGCCTGCAGTGAGACGCGATAAGCTACATAGACGCACAAAACTGCATGATCAGATAATGTGGGAAACTGAAGAACATGTAGTGGTGGGTGCATGGAGGTTGTGCAAACAAAGAGGGATCATGACCAATACACATATATATACATATATATACATATATACATTTAACTACAGAGGGAGATCGAGCGTGGACTACAACAAAAGATAACGATAACCATGCACATATACAACGGTAAACACGTACATATACGAATATGCACATGCGCACTATACACATGTACGATAGAAAGATATCAGAACAACGACTAATACAGCGTGGACAAGAATTGAGAAAACTAAGAGTGTTCAAAGAAACCGGAACATGTGGAGCGCGCAAAGAAAATGAAGATCGCACAGTGGAGTGTAGAGACAGCAATTGGTGTACGAAGAGTGTGTAGAGAGCACACAGTGTAGAGTGTGCCGCAGGTGCAGGAAGTAACGTCAATCGTGGATGGGCGTGCGTCATGAGATGTGCATGGTGCAGAATATAATTCGTGAATATACATAAGTATATGTTTATATATATGTATACATATATAGATTACATATAATATAAATATTTGACAGCGTGAAATGGGGCGAACGGTCTTACACCGTCCCTGGGTGCGTGGCTGAAGTGGGATATCCCGCGGCGCGCAATGCGCTTGCTGTTTGTTGTTTGTCGTCGTTCCACTCGCGACTCACCCCGCGACCCACCCGCGACAAAATTACCCCGCGACCCCCCCCGCGACAGTTCTCACGACCCAACCGCGACCCGCCCGCGACCAACCCACATTGCTTTGTCGAAGATTCGGCGCCTGCGGCGGGCTCTTGATGCAATGCGCCGGAATCAGCGACTGCGGCAGGATTCTTCAGAGCCCCGCAGACTGCCGACGACCCCGCCGCCACCTCGCTCTCATTAGCAGCTGCGAAGGCTATTGTATAGTGTATCCAAAGCCGTGCCGCAGACACGGCATGGAAAGTCCTGAAGCGCCCTCAAGTTCCCAATGCTGAATAATACGGATGCTGTTCCAAGGACCCAGACCCCCATGCTCCGGGCGCTCTTGCGCGCCACGCGCTCAGTGGTCCACGCACGCAGTGCCCCGCGCATGGAGGCCTACAAGAAGGATCACCGCACACTGTTGCACGAACTTGCTGTTGTATATTCCGAATGCCAGCATCATTCACCAACATCTTTGCGCTGTGGGCTCTGAGAGCGCCCCAAGCTGCTGAGCAGGCGAAGAGGGGCCCGAGAGGCTCGCAGGAGGGCCCATCGGCGACCAACAAAAGAGAAATGCGAAGGTGGCCCCCGAGACCGCCAGCGCGCCACAAACAGGCCCACCGAGGCTCCACAATACACCCCCGCTTAGAGTTTAAAAGAATTCGAGGCTACAAGAGCATGGACTTCACGCGAAGCGCTTTCTAACATGGTAGTCCACGTTCAGATGTACGAAAGCTCTGCGAATAAAAGACAAGCTCCGAGAAAACGCCACGGGTCCAGTCCAGCGTCGTGATTCTCTTGTACAAGATCTGAAGTCAATGGAAGGTGCCACTTTTTCTTTCTTACTGTGTCTGATGTGCAGGCCTTAGCTGCCCCGAGACGCAACACACGACACGTAGCGCGTTGACACGGAGCTCGACACGTACATTGGATACGCAGGTCTTGCGCGATGCGCCTGCCAGAACATGGGCCAACGCGTGCCGAACCAACACGCAGCGTGTCAGCACGGACGTCTTGGACACGGCACGTGCTGCGTTGCAGCACGGGCGTATCGGGGCAGCTCAGGTGTGTCGCGAGCAGGGACCGACCGTCCCGGCATTCCTATAGGCCTACCACGAAATCTTCTCAGAAACCCCAGAAAGTTGGAATCACAAAAAACGTTCTTAGAACAAAAGCCCGATGCATTAGTTAAAGCGAGAGACAGTCTCGGCCAGAAGTCCTCTGAGAACACCTCGCGCAAACCACAGAAGGCTCTCGGAACACTCCCCGGTGGGCCCACAGGCAAGCCGGGACGCTTCGCCGCAGCTTGTAGCGCGGGCACCCGACGAGGCCGCCCCCGGAGCGCCTCGTGCCCACCGCCCGGCCACGGCACGGGGGGGGGGTCCGCGGAGCCACCAGACCCGCCGGCGCCCGTGGCCTGCGAAGGGCAGGCCCGGCGGGCCCGGCGGGCCGGCAACTCTTCTCTCGGAAGCTGTGCGAGGAGGGGGTTTATCCATATCCACCGCCTAGGAGCCGACGTCCTGGTGCCCCAGCGGGCGGTGGATATGGATATGTTGCGGCCCCCGGGGGGCCCGAAAATATGTCCATATCCACCGCCCGCCGAGGCTCTGAGAGCTGACCCTCCAGGCGGTGGTCCTGTATAAACTCCCGCCTCGGAAGCTGGGCGAGGGCTGGCAAATCCGCGGCTGCCGAAACGGTCAAACAGCTTCCCGGAATCAGGCCCGGCACGCCGAATCATAAGAGACGAGCTGATTTTCCCTGCAGCAAGCAGCTTCCTGGACCTCCGTGTTGGCAGCCACGGGTTCGCCAGCCTTCGCCCGGCTTCTGCTCCTCTCGGGGCCTCTCCGAAAAAACCTGCGGTCGCTCGGACGCCCATGCCCCGTGTGATTGCTCGGTCTCGCGCGTGGTATTTTTTTAATTGCCCGTTGATCCAGGATGCTCCTCAATGGCCCTCGCCGAGAACCGACACATGCGCCCGAGCGATGCCAAGAGAAAATTCGCGCCAAACTCTGCGGCCCAGACCGCCAGCCGCGTGGAATCGGCCGCAAACGCCCGCTCCCAACAGCTGTTCTGCTTAAGTTTGCCTCCAAGACGACCCCAAGACGGCCAAGATGGCCCAAAGAGAGCCCAAGCTGGCCCCAAGATGCCTCCAAGACGTCTCATTATGTCCCCAAGACGACCCAAGGTGGCGCCAGTACGGCCCAAGAGGCCCCAAAACGCCACAGGAGGGCTCCAAGAGGACATCCAGGAGGTCCCCAGGCAGCCAACATCATGAATTCCCCTGATGTGTTTCTTCGATGGTTTTCGCATTCTTGCTTGGAGGTCCCGAAAGCTGAAGACTGCCCACCTGGCCCCCAAGGTCGACCCAAGGGGGGCCCAAGACGGCCCAAGAGGGCCCCAAGACGCCCCCCAGACAACCCCGAGACCGCCCAAAGAGTCCCCAAGACGGCCCTACAGAGTCCCAAGAGGTGCCCAAGACGGTCAGGACATGCCGCCGAGACCGCCCCCGAAGGCGCAGAGAGCCCGAGAGCACTCCGAGACGGCCCGACAGAGCCCCAAGGTGGCCTAAAGAGAGCCCCACGAGGCCTCCAGAGAAGGCCCTGACGGCATGAAAGAAACCCCAGCAGAGCCCCAAGATGACTGCACAGGGCCCCTCCCTTGTGCTTCCCCATTGAGGTCCCCAAGCACTGGGGCACACGCAGACCACTAGCAGGGTCGCGCCGTTGCTCGACATCTCACCGCACAGGCGCTTCCAGTAGGCAGGGGGCGGGCGTGATTCACCGCATGCATCTCCGACAACTAACACACGTGCAGAAAGCATTTGAGGGCGAATCGCAATATCAGGCTCAAGACACACGTATGTTCGAACAGTTGCGGCCATGCACACGATCTGTGATTGGGATACCTAGGTAGGGAACACTGACACATTGCTTTTAGATGTACCTATGTACACACGGTCGGCTAGGCGTTGGTGGGGAAACAGTGCTGCGTTACACGAAAAGAGATTGCCCACGTTCGAATAAACACAAATGGAGCTACTCACGACGGGGAGTACAGTCGGCCCGTATCATAAGGATGCGCGATAATAATGCAAGGGCCTTTCATTGGGCCGCCCTCCCACCACGGTCGCCGAAGGCCTCCAGGAGACTTAACCCGCGCCTCTCCTCCTCCTCCTCCTCCTCCTCCTCCTCCTCCTCCTCCTCCTCTCCTCCTCCTCCGCCTCCGCCTCCTCCTCTTCCTCCTCCTCCTCCTCCTCCTCCTCCTCTTCCTCCTCCTCCTCCTCCTCCTCCTCCCTCCTCCTCCTCCTCCTCCTCCTCCTCCTCCTCTCCTCCTCCTCCTCCCCCTCCCCCCCCCCTCCCCCTCCCCCTCCCCCTCCCCCTCCCCCTCCCCCTCCCCCTCCTCCCCTCCTCCTCCTCCCTCCTCCTCCTCCTCCTCCTCCTCCTCCTCCTCCTCCTCCTCCTCCTCCTCCCCCCTCCCCCTCCCCTCCCCCTCCCCCTCCCTCCTCCTCCTCCTCCTCCTCCTCCTCCTCCTCCTCCTCCTCCTCCTCCTCCTCCTCCTCCTCTCCTCCTCCTCCTCCTCCTCCTCCTCCTCCTCCTCCTACTCCTCCTCCTCCTCCTCCTCCTCCTCCTCCTCCTCCTCCCTCCTCCTCCTCCTCCTCCTCCTCCTCCTCCTCCTCCTCCTCCTCCTCCTCCTCCTCCTCCTCCTCCTCCTCCTCCTCCTCCTCCTCTCCTCCTCCTCCTCCTCCTCCTCCTCCTCCTCCTCCTCCTCCTCCTCTCCTCCCAAGCTGGCATCCAAAACCCCAAGACTGTCTTGAGATTGCCCATGAGAAGGGAAAGCTGGCTCTGCGAAGTCCAGGGGCACACCTCTCGTCGACTCCGAGCTTCGTGAGGTGACCCAGCGCCCTGCGGACCCATCGAGAAATAAGAAAGCATCTTGGGACACCCGTAAGCAGGCCAATCTTAGTTTGTTGGTGCACCGATTGTACGAGACCGGAGTAACACCTGCAAAAACAGATTGCGCATGACAGCCGTGAACCATTATGGCCCCCAAGAGGCGGCAATAGTGCCCATGCAAGAGGTAGAAACCATGATGGCCTTCGTGCTGCCCGCCCCCAAGGTACCTCCCCCCCAAGAGGCTCCAAGATGCCCCCAAGAGCGCCCGAGATAGCCGAGCAGTTCCTTGATGCTGTCCGAAGGCGCCTCAAAGTCGCCCAACATGCCATCCGACAAGCCCAACAAGTCCCTAAGGTGGCGACCAGAAGCCCCAAATAGGCCCCAGCTCAAACCGTGCCACGGGTGGCCCCGGCATGACCACAAAAGGCCCCCACGTGCCCCCAAGATCTCCATCTATGGCCCGAGGCCACAAGCTAGCCCCAATATTGCCACAGGGCCCGCCAACGATTTCAAAGGATTGCCCACCACAAGCAGATATACGATGTCCACAGACACCACGAATTCAACTACCCCCTAACAACGAATCCAGTATTGGGGGGGGGCGCGGCAGAGGGCGAAGCTACTTTTATTTGAACAGCTCAAGGCTATCGTCATCGTTGAGCACCTTGATGGTCTCGGCTAACGCAACCAGCTCATCGGAACGAACTTTGCACCTCGCCTCCCACTCGGCATCCTTGGTGGCACAGCCCTTCCGCAGCTCTGCGAGATAGGTCGTGTCTTCGCCAAGGGTGTCCTTCGTCTCCTCGAGGTCGTTGGAGTCCTCAGCGAGAAGCACACTCAGTTCGCCGAGGCGCATCATCTCCTCTTCGATCTGGGCTGTGAGGGTGTTCACCTCCTTCGTTTTCGCGGACATCATGGCTTCGTAAGTCGCCTTCGCCTCCTCCTCGGCTTTGGTGGCCGCGAGCAAGTCGGCCGCCATCTCATCGCCCATTTCCTTCAGTATGCCAACTATCTCTCCGCTCTTTGGGGCGTAGGCCACGGTGCCAGAAAGGAAGGCCAGTAGGTTCTGTCGGTCAGCGTCGGGCATGTTCGCCTTCTCCATGGCATACGTCTTGATGAGATTCGCTGAGGAGCTCTGCAGGAATGAAGCACCCATCCCCTTCTCGATGGCAGCCACGGCAGCGGCCAGGGCACTGACATTCGTGTCGGCGTCGGACTTGAGCTTCATGAAGGCAGTGCTTTGCGCATTGCGGAGGGCGGTAGCCTTGGCCATCTGGTCCTTGGCCTCCGCACGACTGGCCGTGTGCTCCTTGAGGGCGGCGTCCGTGGCCGCCTTCTTCTCCGTCTGCTCCGTGATCTTGGACTCCAAAGCCTCGATCTTGCCTTTGGAGGCCTCCATGGAAGTCTCAAGCGTGTTGGCACCTGTCTTGCAATAGCACATCCGCGGCCACCTCTTACAGCAGCGAGCGTGGATCGGACCCGCTTCTTATCGACCACGACAGGCTGAATCAAACCGGCCTTTGACCAAACATACGTGACCTGCACAAGCACGGTAATGCACGATGTACTTTTCTGTTGCCAAATGTTTGTTGTTCACCACCGCTCCAATGGGACTGCCCTTTGTGGGCCCCGGAAATGGCAGGGCGTTTTTTTCACCGTTTCCCAAAAAATGTCCCTTGAAAATGGAAACGGCAAAAAAACGGCGACCGGAAACGGCAAAAAGCGGCTCCAGGATTGGAGCCGGAGCCGGAACCGGTCAAAACACGGCGACGGAACCGGTAAAAAAAAAGGCGACGGAAGCGGCAACAAAAACGGCAAGACGGAACCGGTGAGAAAACGGCCCTGTCGTTTCCAGGGCCCACTAAGGGGGCCTCTGGCGAAATCGTTGGGCTTGCCAGGAGGTGCCGCCCTCGAGCGGCGGGGCGAGCGACGACGAGAAGGAGGGAGGAGGAGGAGGAGGAGGAGGAGGAGGAGGAGGAGGCCCGAGGCCAGGAGTCATGGCTCCAGACGAGGCCACCCTCCAAGCCTGGACCCCTCGACGGCCTCTCCCTCGCATCCCGGAGCCCCGGTTTGGAGGGGCCGAGTGGAGCGCACGAGGGGCGCACGAGCGAGCCCTGGGAGTGGAGGTGCAGTACGTCCAGATGCCTGTTGCTGATGTGCGTGCGCGCTTCATGTGTAGTGGTGGCATCTTTCGCTGGGATGTGCTGTGTGCTATTTGGGGTGGTCGGTTGATGTGTGTACGCGGTGCAAAGACGTGACTCCGAGTGCCTATTCGTATGTGGTGCTGATGTACGTTTGATGAATACATGTTCGCTGTGAGTGGCATCGGTGGCAGCCCATGCTACGCAACGATGCGGGCGAATCATGTCCGCGACCTATATAATGTGCCGACGTATGATGCTCTTGATTGTTGAAGGTGTATATGATGAGTGTGTCGGTTGCTGGTGTACGCTACTGGTGTATGTTGTATGAATTATGACATGGTGCATGTATTTAGTGTGTGAGTTTGATGCTTCTTGGTTGTTGATCTGGGTTCTGAGTGTCGGTGCGTGTCACTGATGTCTGATGCGATGCGTACTCCTCATGCTGGTTGTTGGCGTCGGCCCTTACTGTACTCTCAGGGACACTTGGGGATGCTTCGGCCTTGCGGCCGCGGCCTGCAGGGCTGGCGAGTCGGGGCTTTCCGGGACACTCGGGGATATTTTGGACCTAGCGGCCGCGGTATGCATTACCAGCCTCGAACGTATCCCTATCCCTAAGATTGACACGCCAAGAGGCGATGACAATCTTAGGAATTCGCCCTCAAACAATAAGGGAATCCCTAAGATTGGCATCGTGATGAGGAGGTGCCCAGCATAGGGATAGGGATATGCTCCAGGCTGGTAAATGCAGGGCTGGCAGGCGGGGCTCTCACGGACACTCGGCGACACGCCGGGCCCCTCGTCCGAGGCACGCAGGGCGGGCGAGGCGGGGCTCCCTCACCGACGTGTACGGGGGATGCCTGGGGCCTGGCAGCCGCAGCATGCAGGGCTGACGGGTGGGAGCTCCCCAACTAATCATCCTCCGCCTCCTCCTCCTCCTCCTCCTCCCCCTCCTCCTCCTCCTCCTCCTACTCCTCCTCACCCTCACCCTCTTCCTCCTCCTCCTGCTTCCCCTCCTCCTTCTCCTCCTCCACATTATCCTCCTCCTCCTCCTCCTACTCCTCCTTCTCCTCCTCCTCCTCTGCCTCCTCCTCCTGCATATCCCAACATGTCGGGTGGAGAACGGCATGGTACCTGCGCGTTCACTCCAAGCAGTGAGCACTGAGCTGGCCGAGGCTCGTAAGCACGCAACCACGCAAGCAAGCACACATTCACGCATGCAACTCTGCAAGAAGGCGTACAATCGTCTGAGCAAGCACGCAAGCATGACATTACGTACGCACCCGTGCAACCATGACACAGCCGTGCAAGCAAGCAAGCCAGCAGGCAAGTTAGCCAGCAGCCAAGTCAGCCGTCGGCGAAAAAGAAAGAGGCAAGCACGCAAGCCAAGACGACAGGTGATGCATGCAGGTCACTACTACTATTACTACGACTACTACGACTACTAATGCGACGACTACTACTACTAGTACTACTACTACTACTACTACTACTACTACTACTACTACTACTACTACTACTACTACTACTACTACTACTACTACTACTACTACTACTACTACTACTACTACTACTACTACTACTACTACTACTACTACTACTACTACTACTACTACTACTACTACTACGACTACGACTACGACTACGACTACGACTACGACTACGACTACGACTACGACGACGACTACTACTACTACTACTACTACTACTACTACTACTACTACTACTACTCCTACTCCTACTCCTACTCCTACTCCTACTCCTACTCCTACTGGTACTAGTACTACTACTACTACTACTACTACGACGACGACGACGACGACGACGACGACGACGACGACGACGACTACTACTACTACTACTACTACTACGACGACGACGACCTCCCTACCTACCTACCTACCTACCTACCTACTGCTTCGCCCCCCTCCTCCTCACCCCCAAAACCATAATCCTCTCTCTCTCTCTCCCTCTCTCCCTCTCTGCCTGTCCATCTCTCTCTCTCTCTCTCTCTGTCTCTCGCTCTTTATCTCTCTCTCTCTCTCTCGCTCCTCGCGCAATCTACTGCCCCCAAGCGCAGTGGCGGATGCGCGCGGCAGCGCAACCTGATGAACTCCTCGTAGGCCTTCTTCTCTTTCTCGCCTTCCTCCCTCACCTGCTGCTCCATGTTCTGCAGCATGGTCACCACCTGCGATCGGCAACAGATCTAGACGACCCACTCCTCCAAAAGACCGACCCGCGGATCCGCGCCAGCGGCTCGAGGCGAGTCCGGCCGTGGACAAGAGGGCCCTCCAGGAGACCAAGGAGCGGCGAAGTGCCCAGACATCCTCGGATCTATTTTTTTTAAGCGCGCGGCCCCAGAAGCCCGGGCCCATGCTTGATGCCCCCTGGGGCCGAATTCGGAGGAAAACGCCCAGATTGAGAAAACCGGATCGTCGAATCCAGCTGTGGACCAAAAACCCTCCTCCAGATCCTCCTCCTTGACACGGCAGAAGAAATGGGCACGGAATAATGAGTACGATGCCCAACAGCAAAGCAGCTCCAAAACCAGCAGCGGCCGCTGTTGGTCAGGCGGCCGCCTCAAAAAGGACAACGCCCGCGGCGACGCCGAAGGCGAGTCCTGCTCGAAGCGGACACGTTTAAGCCATGGTAGTGGGTCTGACGCAGATGGGCCCGCGGGGAAAAGTGCAACAGTGCTTGCAATACGTGGTGAATGGATGGATGCAACGATTTGCGCGCTGGATGCAAGAGTTGCTTCTGTGAGTGATAGAACGTTGCGCGTGGATGCGGCTTTGCAGCTTCTATCGCACGCGACAGTTGCCGCCCGCGCCCTCCCCTGGTAACGAGTTGCGCACGGCTGCACGCACCAGCAAGTACTTACAATGGGGAGCCCGACCACAAGAAACCTTCCGCAACAGACCCGACCCTGAGACCCAGGGAAGTCCATCGACTTCTGTTGTGGAAACGTCACGCTTTCCGTGGCAAAACCAGTGAAGCCCAAGAAATCCTGGGCGCCCTGGAGGCGAGCAGGGTGTTTCTTGGCATGGGCCCCCACTTTATCCTTCTTCCCGAGGGGCCCCGCCGCCGCGCCTCCTCGGGGGCCCGAAGGAGGCCAAGACGAGGGAAGGGCAGCGCTGTCCGTACCTCTCCTGCTCCTCTGGCGAGGAGGAGTATGAGGAGGAGGAGGAGGAGGAGGAGGAGGAGGAGGAGGAGGACCAAGAAACCCAGGGCGCCTTGGAGGCAAGCACGGTGCCTCTTGGCATGGGCATCCACCGTAGTGAACGATCTGCGCCTCACGCCGCCGACCCATCTGCGCCAGATCTGCACCGATGGGCACCTGTTCCACCACCGCTACCACGTGCAGGACGGAGGAGAGTGGAGGATGAGGAGGTCCTCCTCCGCCTCCTCCTCCTCCTCCTCCTCCTCCTCCTCCTCCCTCTCCTGCATGTGGTTGTGGTGGTGGAAAAATGGGTCCGTCACGCACCACTCGAGCCCAGCAATATTTACTCAGATTTTCTGGGGAATCGACGATTAATTGTGTCTATGTGTTTTTATCCCCCCTGAGAAGAGGAGATCGCTCAACCTTGAACGATCGGCCCTGAGCGAGGGGGGGTAATGAGGAGGAGAAGGCCCTCTCAGAAGGCGGCGGGACTTCCCAAAGCCCCGGCGCCTTCTGAGAAATGTTCTCTGTCCTCAGGGGAGGCTCAGAAAGCTTCTCCGAAGGCTGGAGGACTTCCGAACCCTCTAAGAAGGCCTTCTCCTTCTCACTTCCCCCCCTCGCTCGCCGCCGATTTCCGAAACGTCAGATCGTTCAACATCGACCGACTCCGGGTGGCTGGCGGCGTTCAACGTTGAACGCCAGCGGCGGGGTCTCCGCTGGTCGACACGACAGAAGCCTACTGGGGAAACCAAAAGGTACCGATACCGCTCCCCCCTGGACCTCTCCCTGGTGCGTTCTGACCAGACTTCCCCGGCAAGTCCAGCGGTGGCGACGAGGGCCTCCGAAGAGGCCCACACTGGGGACACCAAGGGAATGGCAGCGGTATGACTACCTCTTCCTCCTCTGACCTACCCTGCCCACTTCGGTCGTACCCACCCTCCAGACCAGGTGTTGCTGGAAGTGCCCCTGGCCCAAGGTACCCCCAGCTTCCCGCGCCACTCTGGAGCCCCTGGGGCCCCCTGGGCCTGGAGCCCCTGGGGCACCCTGGGGCCCCCCTGGAGGCCCCCTTGGCCACCCCGAGAATCCTGGGGGCACCTTGGGCCAGGGGCACTTCTGGCAACGCCCGACGAGACTGCGGCACAGCCGCCACCTTCCGGATCGGGTTCGCCCGGTGCTCGGACGCCCAGCACGCGGGCGGGGCGCACAGCAGCAGGAGGGCGGCGGCGGAGAGGACGAGGCGCGCCATGGTTGGGCACACGCGGCTCGCGAGCACGAGGCTACGCATTCGACCATGGGCCCCTCTTGAGCAGGGGCCGACCGTCCCGGCACTCCGATGGGCCTACCACGACATGTTCGTAGAACCCAACATTGTCAAATAACTGAAACCATGTTCTTGAAACATAAACCCGATGTGTTGAAACAAGACAAACTCGACCAGAAATGTTCTATGAACACTTCGTGCAGACCACAAAAGATTAATTTCACATTCTTCGGTGGGCCTACAGGCGAGCCAGGACGCTTCGCCACTGCTTGACACTGCCTCCCAAGGTTTTAGGCGGTCTTCGGCATGTGTTCAGCGGTTTCGGCTGTTTCTGGCGGTGTCCTGCGGTTTCTGGCAATCTTCGGCGGTTTCTGGCGGTCTTCGGTGCGAAAGCTGGGCGCTTGCGTTTAGCAAGGGGCCCATGATCGAACACCTGACACGAAGGGCCGGCAGCTGCGTTGGAGGTTGTGAACTGCTGGAGCCAAACGTAAAGCAGCAAGGAGGAGTCAAGGAGGAGTTACGAGGCAACTTCTGAGAGGTCTTCGTCGGAACGATTGAATGCTTTCAGCCCAATTTTACCAATCATCCAGATCAACCCAGATGACACCCAAGATTAAGCTGGACTCGGCCGTGGAGTTAAACGGGAGCGGATTAGGCCTGTTTTCGACCACGGATGCACCAGCACCAGCGCTGATTTGAACCTCCCAGGGGTTGCATCCAAAACGAGGACCTGGCAGCTGCCCTGGAGACTGTGGACTGCTCGCGCCATGGTGGAACGGCAACGAGAAGGAGGAGGAGCAGCAGGAGAAGGACCAGTGTAAACCTAAGAGTCATCAGCGACGTTGGAATGAACACTCCCTCCATATTCCCTCTTCACAGACCCCTACAAGGATTCAATTCCACTGAGTGAACTGCCTCGTTGGAAGACAGCCGTTCGAAGACCCTGAAGCATGCCGAAACACTGTTCTCGGGGCTCCAACGCCACGGATCAACCTGACTGTTGCGTCTTGACGATCCCGAATCGTGCCGGAACGCCTTCCTGGGACTACGACGTCGCGAATCAACGTAACCGCTGAACCCTCATAATCCTGAATCTTTCCAGAAAGCACTACAACTCGTGCAAATGTTGAAAAAGAATGCGCGCGGCGCAAAAGGCGAGAACCACAGTTTGAAAACAGCCCGCCCTCAATCCGTGAAACTCTTGCAAATCTTGACAACGATTGTGCGCGGCGCTAAAGTCAGAACCACATTTTGAAAGCGACCCGTCTTCCATCTGTGAAACGGTTGCCGATGTAAACTTCAGGGTCATAATTGGTAAGGAAGTATCAGGCGAAACGCCCAGCCCGCCCTTTTGACCAGCCTCGGGGTGCGGCACGGAAACGTTATTCATAAGGAAAAGGAGCGGAGGAGGAGGAGCGAGGAGGAGGAGGAGGAACGAGGAGCGAGGAGCGAGGACTCGGAAAAACGGGTGCGGATTTTTCCCGAGGTCGCTGCCGGCCCCTCGTCGCCAGGGCTGGATGCGCCGAAAAATCCGAGTCAGGACGCATCCCAGGGAAAGTGCCGGAGCGCAGCGGCAGCGGCATCTGCCTCTATGTTGCTCCCATCGCACTCAGGGACTATATCCCAGAAATAATCTCGAGAACCCAGAAAAATCGAAACAATGTCGAACGGTTGATCGCCTCCCAGGGCCCGACACGTGAAACCCGTCAAGCTTCGCCTGGCCTCCTCGCGCCAGGGGAACAGCACGGTCGAGAAGGCCTCTGCAGGGGTAGCTCTCTCCAAAGAGCCGTCGAGACCTGGGGGCCCCCGCACTGTGCGCCGCCCTCCGCCCTGGAAGCAGGCAGATTTATCATGAAGTTCCAACCTCCCTTTTCTCCTCTCGTTCAGGCGAACAACCGGCCGAATTTCCGCCCCGAGTTTCGGCCACGCTCGCAGGACACACTTTCTGCGACTGGCGACCGTGGTCTAACGTGATCTCTGGTGGATGTCACCGTCTATGTATATATATATATATATATAAAAATATATACGTATATATATATATAAAAGATTATTTACATATACGTATATGTATAATGTTTATATATATATATGAATTAGAGCGGGGGGGGACGGCGGGAGGCCAAAGGAGGACGGAGAGTGCTCCTCCTCCTCCTCCTCCTCCTCCTCCTCCTCCTCCTCCTCGCTCATCGCTCATCGCTCATCGCTACTCCTCCTCCTCCTCCTCCTCCTCCTCCTCCTCCTCCTCGCTCCTCGCTCCTGTCCTCCTCCTCCTCCTCCTCCTCGCTCCTCGCTCCTCCTCCTCCCTCCTCCTCCTCCTCCTCGCTCCTCGCTCCTCGCTCCTCCTCCTCGCTCCTCGCTCCTACTCGATCCTCCTCGATCCTCGCTCTCCTCCTCCTCCTCCTCCTCCCTCCTCCCCTCCCCCTCCTCCTCCTCCTCCTCCCTCCTCTCCTCCTCCTCCTCCTCGCTCCTCGCTCCTCCTCCTCCTCCTCCTCCTCCTCCTCCTCCTCCTCCTCCTCCTCCTCCTCCGTCTCCTCCTCCTCCAGGCGTCGCGAAGCAGCGGATGACGGCGTCGGGGCTCTGGAGAGCCCATTGTGCTGCATCTTCGTGGGACATTGTCTGTCCCATCGCGCTCCTATCCACGTCGAATCCGCTTCGAGTCCAGGTCGAACGCGTCGAATCCATGTCGAATCCACGTCGAATCCGCGTCGAATCTATGCCGAATCCACGTCGAATCCGCATCGAACCCACGTCGGACACGAGAAGCTTCAGCCATTCACAGAATAGGCAAAAAGGCCCGCCGAGGATGCAACGTGATGTCTGCGGCGTGCGCAGCCCGGGCGAGGTCGTATGCCTCGCTGTGGCGTCGCCGAGCACAATCGCCACGGCAGGATCGTGTCGCGACGACCTGCGCGCTGTTGAGCAGGGACCGACCGTCCTGGCATTCCTATAGTCCTACCACGACGTGTTCCTAGAACCCCAAAAACGTTCTGAGAACAGAAGCACTGTTCTTAGAATATGAACCCGATGTGACAAAACAAGACAGGCTCCGCAAGAACTGTTCTGAGAACATCTCGTGGAAACCCGAAGAGGTTCTTAGAACATTGTTTGGTAGGGCCTATAGGCGAGCCAGGACGCTTCGCCACTGCACGACGCTGACCTCGGGCGCCGCGCGGGCGGCGCGCTCCCGGGCGCTCGCGGCCCCGAGCGCGGCGCAGCTCGCTCGCTGCCTGCCGGCTCTGGGCCGCCAGCGGCCCACGCGCGGGCCTCTGACGCCGCGCGGGCGGCTCGCTCCCGAGCGCTCGCGGCCCTGCGCAGATCAGTTGTTGTTTTTTTTTTTTGCGCGCGACCCCTTCGGGGGCCCTCTGGAATCGATATGGGGCCTCCGTGCGCGGCATACACCGCGCGCGGCTGGGTCCCCGCGACGGAAGTGGGCGCTGCAAAACCTGTGGCGTTCGCCCACGGCCGTGTAGCTAGGTTGAAGAGCAGCTTGGTGCAGCGAGCACTTGGGCCCGGGCCGCGCGGCAGCCGCTCGAGGATCGGGGATGGACAGACCTCTCCCTTTAATAACACATGGTTTAGTGATAATCGACGTGTCACTGTTGGGGGTTCTGTCCACCCCAGAGAGGAGGGGCAAAAGAACCAGCCGGCACGGAGAGACCGGGTACGGACGTCGAGCCGGCCGAGTGCGGGCGGCAGGCACGGACACGCCGAGCGGCCCGCCCCCGCCGAGCGCGGGCGGGCCGGCGGACAAAACTGGGCGCTCCCGCGGCGCTCCGCGCTCCGCGCAGGGGGAGCCCCGAGTGCGCAGAGGAGGTCTTGGGGAGAGGGCCTCTGGGAGAATAGGGGATGTTGCCAGAGATCCAGAAACGGAACGACGAGAGCACACGAGGATCCAACGACTTGCCACCGAAGCCCTCCAGGCTCAGGCGGCGAACTCGTTGGCTGCGGCGTACTCAAGCCCCGCTGCGATCTCCTCCTTCAGCACGGGCTTGAGCGCCTCCAGGCGCCCCTTCTCGTAGTCGCTCAGGGGCCCCAGGTCGTGCACGGTCTCCACGCCGTCCTTGCCGAAGGTCACCTTGGAAGCAAAATACGGCAGGTCCGTGATCGTGGACTCCACGTAGGCGCACTCCGTCACGGGCGTGCCGGCCAGGCCGGACAGCACGGCCCGGCCGAGGCGGGCACCCGCGAAGGCCATGGAGAGGGTGGCGCTGCCCTTGCCGTTCTTCGCGGCCACCACGACGGTGCCCGCGTCCTGCACCTTCTTGTCCAGGTCGGGGACCTTGTCCGCGGGTATGGTCGCCCCCGCCGCGTCCTGGGAGAAGAGCGGCAGGATCGTGGTGCCCGCGTGCCCCCCGATGACCGGGATGGAGATGCCACCGACGGGCTGCCCGGTGACCTCGTGCACGAACTTCTCCGCGCGGACGCAGTCCAGCGTGGTGATGCCGACGATCTTCTTCGGGTTCAGGCCCTTCTTCTTCCAGAGCTCGCACATCGCCGGCACCACCGAGTTCACGGGTTGACGATCAAGGCCACGACGGCGTCGGGGCAGAACTTGGCGCAGGCCTCCACGATGTTCTTCGCGATGCCCGCGTTGATGTTCAGCAGATCCTTGCGGTCCTGTCCGGGCTTGCGCGGGACGCCCGCGGGTATCAGCACGAGGCTGCACCCGGTGAGGCACTCCTCGGCCTTGTCGATGGCGCGGTCGTCCTTGTCGAAGGCGTAGCCCTTGACCACGGCCTTGTGGTTGAGGTGCGACAGGTCAGCCGCCACGCCCTCCGCGGGCACCATCGCCAGGGTCAGGTCGTACACGCACAGCTCCGACACGTTGGGGTCCATGGCCATCAGCAGCGACAGGGGCTGCCCGATGCCGCCCGCGCCGCCGACCACGCAGACCTTGTAGTTGGCCATTGCTGTGTCTGTGGCGGGCTCGGTCGCGTGAAGGGGTCAAGGGCAGGGCGGTGCACTTGAGCCAAAATGGCTAC